CCTACGTCCTCGGGAGCCACACCACACAATCTCTTTTATTAATTGAAGAAGAATACAAGCTCTCAAACTAGGGTTTTATCTCTCTGAGATTCTCTCTGGTTTTGGCGGTCGACCGACCCGGTCGACCGCGACCTGATCCAGGCCCTCCCAGTCTCCTGTGCACGTTCGCGGGCGACCGACCCGGTCGACCGCAGATCTGTCTGCTTGTTTTCTCGTCCTTTTGATTCCAGCTTTCATCTCGAACTTTGGGTCTACACCTTAGACTAACAATCTCCCACTTAGAGACCAAAGTGCCTGCAATGAGTTTCCCCGAACTCTCCTCTTCTTCGCATGTATCTTTTCCCCGAAAAAATTCTTCCTTCAATCAACAATATCCAGGCGATCTCGCCGATCCTCGTAGTGTGGCTCCGCCTTCGTCTTCTACTCGTGAAGGCCAACTGAAGTTGCGCACAACTCCAGTTTCTCAATGGTGACTGCCTTCGTCAACATGTCCGCCGGATTTTGACTCCCCAAAATCTTCATTAAATGCAACTTTTCATCCTCGATCAGCGAGCGTATAAAATAGTATTTGACGTCGATGTGCTTCGTTCTGGCATGATATACTGGATTCTTGGCAAGATGTATAGCGCTCTGGCTATCACAATAAAGAACTCCTCTCCCTTGCTTCAGATCCAATTCTTCCAAGCACCCGTCCAACCAGATCATCTCCTTGCTTACTTCAGTCACCGCGACATACTCAGCCTCGGTTGTAGACAAAGTCACAATCTTTTGCAGACGTGAGACCCAGCTCACTGCTGTCGACGCTAAGGTATAAACATACCCCGTGGTGCTTCGCCTCGTATCATGATCACGGAGAAGTCCGCATCCACGTATCCCTGCAGCACCAACTCCTTCCTCCTGAAACATAGTGGCTTGTTCGTTGTTCCCCTCAAGTACCGCATTATCCATTTCACGGCCTCCCAATGCTGCTTTCCTGGATTGCTTGCAAATCTGCTCACAACTCCCACTGCATGGGCGATGTCCGGCCTCGTGCAAACCATCGCGTACATGAGACTCCCAATGGCCGAAGAATATGGCACCCTGCTCACATGCTCTCTATCTGCATCTGTCTTAGGCGATTGTTCCTCAGATAACTTGAACTGACTTCCAAGGGGTGTGCTAACAACTTTAGCTTTCTCCATGTTGAACCTCTGAAGTACCTTCTCAATGTATTCAGCTTGGCTCAATCTCAATGTCCATTCAGTTTCATCCCTACTGATTCGCATCCCTAGAATCTGCTTCGATGCACCCAGATCCTTCATTGCAAATTCCTTTGCTAGCTGCCTCTTCAAACTGTTTATCTCTTCTAAACACGGTCCTGCTACCAACATGTCATCAACATATAATAACAAAATAATGAAGCTGGACTCGAACCTTTTGAAATAACAGCAATGATCTGAATTGCATCTTCTGTAGCCATTGTTCTGCATGAAGTTATCAAACTTCTTATACCACTGTCTCGGAGCCTGTTTCAAACCATATAAGCTCTTCTTGAGCTTGCACACCATCTCTTCCTTTCCTTCTTCAATGAAGCCAACAGGCTGCTTCATGTAGATTTATTCATCCAAGTCACCATGACGAAAGGCAGTCTTCACATCTAACTGCTCAAGGAAGAGGTCTTCTGCAGCTACCAAACTCAACACCACTCTGATGGTTGTGAGTTTCACAACAGGGGAAAATATCTCCGTGTAGTCCACTCCTTCCCGCTGTTGAAACCCTTTCACTACTAATCTGGCCTTGAATCTCTTGCTTCCATCACTCTCCTGCTTGACCCGGTAGACCCATTTATTGTGCAAGGCTTTCTTCTGCGCAGGTAGCTGGGCTAACTCACATGTCTCATTAGTGAGTAGAAAATCTATTTCCTCCTGCATCGCATGCTCCCACTGCTGAGATTCACTCACTTGCACTGCCTCTTCATAACACTCCGGCTCTCCGCTATCTGTTAAGAGTAGATAATCAAGTGACGAGAGGTATTTGGGATTTGGTTTGGGTGCCCTCGATGACCTCCTAAGCTCCACGCCCTGGGTAGTAGCTTCTGTACCTGTAGTCTCCTCCGTTCTACGATCAGACTGACATCGTCGCCCCCATCTGGAAGTTCCTCCAAATCCATGTACTCGGATCCACCTGTATCCGTAGTGCTGCTCCCACTGCTTTGGCTATCATTGGCATTGTCCCTGTGCTTATACATCACCTCCTCATTGAATATCACATCCCGGCTCCTGATGATCTTCCTGTTCTTCTCATCCCAAAGGCGATACCCGAACTCATCAATGCCGTATCCAATGAATGTGCACTTCTGTGACTTAGCTTCTAGCTTGTCCCTGACATGGTCACTGATATGAACATAAGCCATGCAACTAAATATCCGCAAGTGTGAGAGATTTATCTTCTTTTCACTCCAAACCTCCTCTGGAATCCCAAAATCTAATGGAACTGATGGCCCGTGATTAATCAGGTAGGCTGCCGTATGCACCGCATCCGCCCAAAATGTCTTAGGCAGACCTGCATGTAATCGCATGCTCCGCGCACGCTCTGTCAAGGTCCTATTCATCCTCTCTGCAATGTCGTTCTGCTGCGACGTCCTTGGGAGTAGTCCTCTCTAAGCGAATCCCATTCGTAGCACAGAACCTCTTGAACTCCTCCAGCTCATATTCTCCACCATTATCTGATCTCAAACACTTCACCTTCAGATCTGTCTCGTTCTCGACCATGGCCTTCCACTTCTTGAAGATTTCGAACACCTCTGACTTGTGCTTCATGAAGTAAACCCACACCTTCCTCGAGTGATCGTCGATAAAGGTGACGTAGTATCTCGAAAAAAGAAGACACACTGGCTGGGCCCCATACATCTGTATGAATCAACTCTAGCTTCTGAACCTTAGGTGACCTTCCACCCTTCTGGAAACTAACCCTCTTCTGCTTCCCAAAGATGCAGTCTTCACAAACCCCGACTTCCACGGTGTCGATCCCGATTAGGTTTCCTTGTGAATGTAGGATTTTCATTCCCTTCTCGCTCATGTGTCCCAGCCTATTGTGCCACAGATCTGTACTCTCCTTGCCAGCTGCAATTGCGAGGGTGTCACTTGCATGTGAAGTGAGGTAGAGAGTTCCCATTTTATTGCCTCGGGCAACAACCATAGTACCGTTGGAGATTCTCCACGAATCCCCGGTGAATATCGAAACGTAGCCTTCTGCTCCAAGCTGTCCCACCGAAACAAGATTCATCTTCAGTTTCGGCACATGTCTCACGTTCTTCAAATTCCACTTAGAGCCCTTTATCTGTATCTGAACGTCGCCCTTTCCAACAATATTGCAAGGTTCATTGTCCCCCAAGTATACTTTACCAAAGGCCCCTGCTACATAGTTCTGAAGTAGTTTCCTATTAGCAGTGGCGTGGAAAGAAGCTCCTGAGTCGATGACCCAAGAATCAGAATCGCTATCCATAGCAAGGATCAAGGCATCCTGCACGATATGAGCCTCCTGCTCACCCGCATCCTTCTTTGGTGCTTTACAGACCAAAGACATATGGCCCTCCTAGCCGCAGTTCCAACACTTCCCTTTGAAAGACCTAACCTTCGAGTTCGGCCTCTTCTTCACTGATTTCGACCGATTCTTGTTCTGGTTCCCTTTCTTCTGGCTTCTGCCTCTCTGCTCGAAACTTAGGGCTGAACCTGAACCTTCTGATTCGGACGATTTCCTTCTAACCTCCTCGGATAGAATCATGCTAACAACCTCATTCAGCTTCAACTTCTCTTTCCCCGCCAAATTGTTGATTGCTGTCACACAACCTGCCCAACTATCCGGCAACTGCGATAGAATCAATAGGGCTTGCACTTCGTCATCAAACGTGATGTCCACGGAGATAAGGAACTCGCTGAGGTGCATCGTGAAGGACCGTCCTTCTGCCATCTTGAGGTTGAAAAGAGTTTTGACTAGATGCACCTTGTTTGCTGCCGACGGTTGCTCGTACATCTTCGCGAGCGCTTCCATAAGCCACACCATCGTCTTCTCCTTCAGAATATTGTGGGCTACTGATTTGGCGAGCGACAACCGGATTTGCCCTAGAGCCTTTCTATCCAGTACCTCCCAATCACCATCTGACTCCTCTTTCTTCTTTCCCTTCTCCTTGCCCATCAACGGGCGATACAAGTCCTTCTGGTACAGATAGTCCTCCATCTGCGACTTCCAGTAGGCAAAGTCTGAACCGTCAAACTTCTCGATCTTTGATTTGCTTTCCTCTACCATGGCTTTCACACAAATTGCTAAACGAAGCTCTGATACCAGTTGTTGGGAATTCGAAACAATCAATCGAACCCTTGCCCTTCCGGACCTTGTGTTGAAAGTAGGAAAGTAGGAATAAAACCACAAATAAAGATCTAACTTGCAAAAAATAGTAAGGGAGATGAACACACAGATTTAACGAGGTTCGGCAACGTGCCTACGTCCTCGGGAGCCACACCACACAATCTTTCTATTAATTGAAGAAGAAAATACAAGCTCTCAAACAAGGGGTAAATCTCTCTGAGATTCTCTCTCTCTTTGCAGTCAAAAAGCTCTCTTTTTGATGTAGTACAAACCCTAAAAACGTTTGGGGTATATATAGAATCCTGGTTGAAACAAATTCCTAAACAGAACAGGAAACTGCCAAAACTATTCGCAGTCGACCGGCCCGGTCGACCGATCAGATTCCAGAGAGTTTGGCAGTCGACCGGCCCGGTCGACCGATGGCAAGACCCGAGACCAAAATACTTACAGGGTTTTGGCGGTCGACCGGCCCGGTCGACCGCGACCTGATCCAGGCCCTCCCAGTCTCCTGTGCACGTTCGCGGTCGACCGACCCGGTCGACCGCAGATCTGTCTGCTTGTTTTCTCGTCCTTTTGATTCCAGCTTTCATCTCGAACTTTGGGTCTACACCTTAGACTAACACTAAATACCTCAAGCTTTAGTTTGTAATCTGACATCTGAAACATAAGTCCGCATTATATTATTTACACAAGGACTGTCATAACTGATGGTCATTAGTAAATTCATGTATTGTTTTCACTTGCAAGTCAATGATTATACATAGTACTTGTTAAATCTGCTCTAAATTGAGACCACCCATTTGATGTCCCCATGGATGTTATTGTTTCAACCTGATTATTTTCATTCTGTTCTTCTTCTTCCACCTCATATCCTTCTAGATTATCAATTTCAAATGGATCTTTTTCCAATTCATTTCGAATAAAGTTATGTAGCAGAACACAAACCATGATAATCATATAATAAACTTATATCGGGTAATGAGAAGGACTTCTCAGTATTGCCCATCGCCTCTTCAGTAGACCAAATGATCTCTCAATGACATTTCTCACAGTCGAGTGCTTCATATTGAAGCACTCCTCTGAGGAGGTAGTTTGGTTATGAGCACTTCAAACATTCCAATGATATCACTAGCCTCTAAATGGAGCGAGAAATCCTTCTCAGTTTGTATAGCTAACATCAACCAATTAGTACCTATAAAACATCCAACTCTAAATTAAAAACAATCTTTAGTATTATTTCAAACTAATAAAATAATTGCATATAGTAACACATTTATTAACTGTATTTTTCTTACCATGTGAGACTACTAATCCATTTCTCCTAGTAATATCATCTCGAAGTATTCTGCCGTCCTTTGCAGACCCTTTCCACCCAACAACACATATATAAACAACATATCTTGAGTGCATGCTCCTAGAACATTAACAGCTTTTACGCCTTTCCTTGAATAACACCTCGGTTGATCAGCTCTTGAGACACTGATAGGAATATATGTGCCATCCAATGCTCGTAAACAACCCATGAATAAACAAAAAAAAAGGTTAATATGCAACCTATCCTTCTAAAAAACATCAAGTTATGAATATAAGATATAAGTAATTGCAATGAATCATTAACGTTAAGGAAGTAGGAAGATTTTAGATTCATTGAGATGTAACATGCATAGAGAACAGAATCAAAACCTGGGAAAACATAGAATAATTAATAATAGAGAAGATAAAATCGTGCATCTCCAATTAAGCAGCATTTGTTACAATTCTGCAACAAATGACAGTTGTTTTATTCGTTATATATATAATCAGGAAGGAAAAAAAAACATTGGTTTTTAATTAAAACTCTCTGATTTAGACTCATTGCTCATCAGACTTCAACATCACTTCCAGCACATAACCAGCTATCTGACCATATGGCAGTTTTAAGTGGTTATTACTGAAAATATGTGAGATAATATTTGAACAACATATGTGCAAACTCTAAGCTATTAAATACACCCTCATTACTAAAACAATCATATAAATTATCAGATTTCACAAAGGTAAATTAAGATCAATTTGATTGCATAAAAGTGCAACAAAAAGCACAAAAGAGAGAAAAGAATGCCATTTGTTGGAATTACTGCAAGTTCTTCGTGTATAATTTGAAAAATGAACCAAAAAAGGAGATCAGTTGAAGCAGTTGAAGCCACATTTTGTCACAATGAGTTGATCCTCATATTATAAATCAATATCAGGGTTTCCTTGTCAACCATCTCTGTCACCTCCTTATCATTGCTAACAAAAACTTGGTTGGTTCGTTGAGGCGAGAAGTCTAGACCACATTCTATCAGTTAACCTTAAACAACATTTGTGGTCTCCGGAACTTGCTGAGCTAAAAAAGGCATTGTCCTTGTATTCAAACAAATTAAGTTAACAACAATAACAATATCTGAGCTTAAAACATTTAATCGAGCTCTGAACTCTCTCATCAGTTGGCAATGCCAAGTAGTACTGATTGAATTGCCATAGGCTTCTTATGAAAGACCATAATAAGTAGTGTTTTGACCAAGTCTATGAGAAAATGAAACCTATTATTATTAATATTTGTCATCCACCATTTTCAACATAATCCATAACTTGAAATAAAATTGAAAAAAATGTATGATGGTAAATTTAAATAGCTGGCTGCTTTATCAATTAATCACTGTAGGCCCACTTTCTTTGTACGACAAGATTGAAGTAAAAGTATCCATGCGCATATCCATCCATAAAAAAATAATAATAAGACAAAATCACTGGACTCCATTTGATGCCCCTAAATCCAGGATATTTACAGTTGAGTTGTAAATGCATGAGATTATTTTACAGTTGAGTTGTAAAATAATGGCAGTTAAGTATCATATAGTTTGAGGGTGTTTGGAGGGGCTTATTTTTAGAAGCTTTAAAGCTACATTAACTTTTGGTAGCTTTTGATTTTTATGATTAAAATTATAACAATTTTTTTGGATAGAATCTTAATTTGCAACTCGGGCTAGTTTCTCAAGTCTATGAGAAAATGAAACCTAATATTTAGCAATATTCTTGAATAAAATAAAATGGTGTTATAAATTGATATTTGGTATATTAATTAGCATGTTCATTCACTTAGATTGATTGCTGATCCACGTTCTCTAGCAGCAAATTGTTCCTGTATAGAGATAAAGATTAGATTTAGCAGTACTTTAGAAAAAAATTTAAAAATGGCTCCATCAAGAGGACCATATATAAGGAAAATTTGCTTATTACATAATTATTGAATTTAATTTGGATTTGAGAAAAGGCCACACTATGCTGAATTGAATTGTTTGATTCACCCCCACATGACATGATAATCATACTCTCTTTAAAAATACGAGTTCGGGAAATCTTTCCATGGTCAATATTACTCTTAATTTTTTTGAATATTACATTGTTATCCTAATCTAATTATCCTATCTTTTTTGAATTGGTAATTAAATGATTTATCCTATTCATAATGTGACTTAACATGTTATTAGATAAAGGAGATATGTTTGATATTAATTCAAACCCTTTACATATTTCAGTTCACAGAGAAATCTAAAAAATATATGCTAGCCAGCATCTAAAAGTTTTTAGACTTTGTATAATAAATGCTCCAAGTTTTTTAAATTACAAAAACACCCTTACAAATTCAAAATTTTATTAAAATATCTTAAAAATTATAAATTTTACTTATTTCAATTAGTGAGAAATCTGAAAAACATATGCTAGGTAGAAACTGAAAGTTTTTTGACTTTGAAGAAAGTATCTCGTAAGTTTTAAAAATTATAAAAACACCCCTAAAAATTCAAATTTTGTAAAAAAACGCCTTGAAAATTTTAAACCTATAAACACACTAAAAACTTACAAATAACACAAACAACCCCCGAAAATTTATGAAATTTTCAGTAAATACTTTAATCTTTTTACAAATTACAAAATAAAACCCTCAAAATTGTAAAATTTACAAAAATCTTAATAATTTCTATCCTAACAGTACATTTAAAATATAGAAATTATGAATATCCCCTACATAATTTATAATTTATAATTTATAAAAAACACCCTTAAAGTTTTAAAAATTACTAACAAACACTCAAAACTCAAATATTACATAGAACGCCTTGAGAATTTCAAACTCATTACTAAATTGAAAACATAGGATTATAAATAGTCTATAAACAATTTACAATATAATATGTATAAAAGGCATATAACTTTAAAAATTATAAAAAATCTCTAAAATTCATAATTTACAAAAAAAATATCATGAGAATTTCTAACCTATAGATACTAAAATGAATATACAAAATTACTAACAACCCCTAGAAAATTAAAAATTTGCAAAAACTATCATGCTCCCTTTAAAAGTATAGGTTTAGGAAAACAATTCATGATCAATATTACTCATAACGTTTTTGGAAAGAACATAACTAATTAAAAATCTACTAAATTTAAAATTTATAAATAAACACCCTTAAAGTTTAGTCCATTGCAAATTACCCCTCCAAAGTTTAAAATTTTTCAATAATTTTTTTTAGTTTATTGATTTCAATATAATGTTTAATAGTTTTGTGTATTTATAAATTATAAAATTTTAGGGTGTTTTCTTACAATTTTTAAAAATTTTGAGGGTGTTTCTTATATAGTTTTCTAAATTTTCATTGTGTTATCAATGTAATGCATAAATACGTCAATTAACGATGATATTGAAGAATACGTCGTTCTTAAGATGTATTAGGCCACACATCACTATTCCTTGGCAATATAGTTTATATATGCAAAAAAATTCAGACAATTTATATAGTGGTTAAAATAATTTTGACGTTAATGTATTATTTTTTATAAATTATATTTAATGTGAACCCACCATATAATTTTAACTGTGGTCATCATAACTTTAATAAATTTGATTGATTGACTATATAGATATATAGACCACAGATTACTTTATTTTCTCGCATAAACTAATATTTGGTGCTTAATAATTTAAATTATTATTTTTAAATTTAATATAAAAAGGAGCTCTAATATACATGATAATACAATCTCAATTCCTATTTTTTAGTTAAGATTTATTTTATAGTTACGCGTACCAAATTAGTAACTAAAATAATAATTATTCATGCTTAAATTATGATGATTGTAGTTGGTCACTCACTATGAAATTTTTATAAAGATGTATACCTTACTCTCTATAGCTATCTACACTACCCATATATATTTTATAAATTAATTGTTAATTTGACATATTAAATTAATTTTTCTTTATAGAAATTTCTTCTTTAACTTTTAGATTGTGTAATCACTATATCATCATTCTAACGTAGAAAGGTCATCACTCTAAATGGCTTCAAGCCAATGTTTGAGTTAAACTGAAATATATACTATCGCTACTATATTAATATTTTTTAAGAAAATCATGTTAATACTTTTTAAATAAAAGAGAATATTCTAACATTTGACATTATAAAATCTAAATATAGTCAATTGAGTGATTAACAAAAGAGAACTTACATTAGAAAAGTGTGAATAATAAGATAAAGATGAAAGATAATGGTATTGCCAACAATATTATCAATAGCAAACTACAATGTAAAGTTAACATATTTTGTGGAGCCCAACTACTGGCCATAAGTATCGAGATTTCCATATATATACATTATAATCTATTAAAAAGGGTTATATAAGCTTATATAATAAACTTGATTTAATATTAAATAGTAATATCGTTGTAATAATATCATTATTAGGTAAAATTCTTTATGAACCAGTATGTTCTTTATGATATATAAGCTATGCACTCTAAATTCTAATGTTTTTATAGAGCCAAAAATTTTGAATACGAGCCCCTAACGTTTTGCTCTCACAACTGAAAAATTCACTTAGCAGATATGGATATTCCAGATGAGTTATATATCATATATACAATACAATTGCCCTAAGCAAGTGAGTTATAATAGTATTTTTTATTCACATCATTTCGGGCAAGATTTGATAGGAACCTTGCATCAAAGAAAAAAGAATTTTTTATATTTAGAAAATATGGCGAAATATATTATAACCTCTCTGCTCTAATTTTACAAGAAAATAATTCTTCATACTTTCAGTTTGACTTCTATGGTTCGGAGAATGAACCGTAAAATTGAATGAGAATATTAGGTAATGTAAATATGAGTGAGACCATATCTAAAAGTTAATGTGAATATGAGTCAAACCATAACTTAATGTTTAATGGACATATTGCAAGTAAATTCATATACAATATTTCTTTGCGAATTGAATGATCACCCATATTTTGAAGACTTCAAAACACTAATAAACAGAGATGTTGTATTAGATCAACGTGTTTATAACTCACAAATAGTAGATCATGTGGCCATAGTCTGGGTTAAAGGAAATAATGATAATATTTTATTTGAGAGAGAGATTATTGAGTTGTTGATCAATCTCACAAAAAACTTTATTTTCTTTTTTTTTAATTTATTCTATTTTTATTAATTTAAATAATCATGATACTTAACCACATGCATTGCACGTGCATCTCAACTAGTACTAATATAAAAATACAAATTATGGTTGCTCAAGTTAACTCATAAAAAACAATCTTGAATTATCCTCCTTAGCTGAAGATCATTTTTGAACTTGGATTAAGATCAGAATTATTTTTATCATTCTATTCTCATCATAATTTATCCTCTACCATCACAATCTCCTCCAATTGCAAACCCAAACTGTAACGCACACCTCCACCATATCAACAATTAAAATACCAAAAACAACTTTGAACATACGTTACAAATTGTTCTCATAATTTTTTAGCATTAATGTATCATTAAAAAAAATCGTTTTAAAAGAGGGAGGGAGGGGAAGGAAGAGAGAGATTAGAAAGAGAGAGAGAGAGAGAACCTTGAGAGCAGAGATTTCAGTTTGAGTCGTTCCTTCTCCTCTCACCAACTCCTTTTTGTTATTTTACTTCCGCAGCCTTTCTCACCATTTCCCCTCAACTGCTCTGCCGTGAAGAGGGATGAGTTATCATCTCCTCAACTCTTCTTTTTGTTATTTTACTCTGAATCAATTTTTGGACCAAAATTTCCTTAAATAACCCTCCATTTAGTGTTCCCACTTTGTTCTGGCCAGAGATAAGAGGAATGAATTGATGAAAGAGCATAGTAAAGTCAAAATTTGGCCCCATTTCTTACCAAAATAACCCTTATTGTAAGCCTTCCCGAAATTACCCTATATATATATAGTAAATAAGGAGGGTAAAAATGGAAAAGAAAAAAAAAGCCCCCGATACAGCTTTTATACAAGTATGTATATTGAATTTTCTTAAAATTTACAGCTAACCACCAGCATATATTGTTTCTGAGAAAATAAAAGGAAAACTATATGTTATCAACAGAACCTAATAAACAAAAGTTGCTAAAATGCTTCTCATAATCGCTTCAGAATCTCATACTACACATTACTCTTGATATAACTGGTACGAAACCTATATGCGTACAAGTAAATTCATAATACATCACTATCATGTTTCAAGCAGCGCAAAACTCAGACGTATACTTCATCTTGATCTTCTGCAACTGTGGGACGACGTCTTTCATAGCAAGCCTCTCATTAGGCGAGTCACTTGAACAGATAATCCCCAACTCCATGATGGAAGATAGACAGGTCGGTGTTGAAATTAAGTAGTTCTTTGGCCTTTCATTTCCATTTTCATCTTTCAGTAGATTGCAGTCCACAATATCTAACAGGCCGGTAGGATTTGCATCATTTACCCATCGCCGCAAGCTTGATTCCCCAGTAAACATAGGATCAGTAGGCTTCTTTCTCGTAAAGATTTCTAGCAACAATATTCCAAAGCTATAGACATCTCCCTTTGTGGAGACTCTTCCTGTTGAAGCAAACTCTACACAGCAAACTCAAACGTTAGTACAGATTGCACGTGATTGGACTAGATTTTAGGCGAAAGCCTGTTGAGGTTACGCTCTGGCTGACACCACTCAGCAGTTTTGCGATGCCAAAGTCACTGACATGTGCAGTCATCTCTTCATCAAGAAGAATGTTGCTCGGTTTTAGATCACAATGCAGTATAACCTCAGAATAGTGATGATGAAGGTAGTCAATAGCTGAAGCTACATTGATTACGATGTTAATCCTTTGAAGCAAGCTCAAGCAGTAATTATGGGAGTATAGCCATCTTTCCAGACTTCCATTGGGCATGAATTGGAGGACGAGTGCCTTGAAATCCATGTTGGAGCAAGTGCTGATGATTCTGACAAGATTTCTATGTCGAACCATCCTCAAAGCACGACACTCAGCATCAAAACTCCTCGATGCTCCTTCGATTTCCAAATTCAAGACCTTTATGGCAACAAGAAGGCCGTCATCTAAAAGCCCTCTGTACACAGAACCAAATGCACCCATTCCCAGCAAGTTTATCTCGCTGAAGTTGTCAGTGGCACGAGCAAGCTCATAGTATGAGATCAATCTATGGTGAGTAGGAGAGGGCATGCTAGGAGGGGCTAGATTCTTGGTTCTCCTTCTACAAAATCTTAATAAGATGCAAAAACCAAGAAGAAGGACTCCGGAAGAAGCAATAACAGGGAGGATATACCTTAGCAAATGCCTCCTTGAATTAGAATCTTTAGAATCAGATGGATTACAAGATGAAAATCCTAATATGGGTGCTCCACATAATGCTGCATTTCCTTCCAAAGACACGACACTTACATTTAAAAAGGCACCGCCATTTGGAACCTTTCCTTCCAACTTGTTGAAAGATAAGTTCAGGACGCTGAGATGTCGGATTTTGACTAAGGACCCGGGTATAACACCTGAGAGCTTATTGCAAGAAAGGTCCAAATGCTCAAGATTGATAAGATCACCAAATGATTCAGGAATGTGCCCGTCGAATGAGTTATTTGATAGATCTAAATAATTGATTTTGAGATACTTTGGAGGACTTGGAAGGTTACCCGACAGCTGATTTACTGATATATCCAATGAATATAAATCCATGTTCCACAATGTCAATGGCAGCGATCCAGTGAGAAGGTTTTGTGAAAGAATTAATAGTTGTAGATGAGTCAGACTCCCAATAGTTTCAGGAATTGCAGAAGATAACCTATTAGCACTAAGTCTTAAGTTCTCTAGTCCAGTAATGTTACCCAGCGAGTCAGGTATCGATCCAGAAAGACTATTGTTGTCGAGGAACAGTGTGTCCAAGTTTCTCAATCGGTCGAGCTCATGTGGGATGGAACCGTGTATCCTGTTACTATCGAAACCTAGGTACTGCAGGCCTTGTAGGGTTGTGATTTCAGACGGTATCGTTCCGACTAGCTCATTCTCAGACAGGTCTAGAGTGGTCAATCCAGACAGGTTACCCAGCTCAACAGGAATTTTCCCCTTAATATGATTATCCCCAACATCAAGCACTGTTAGAGTCCTTGAAAGATTACCTACGCTATATGGAAGAATGCCATCCAGCTCATTTCCACCAACACGCACATGATCTATAACTCTGCAGTTCGAAAGCGATGTAAGGAAGTCAACTCCTCCTGTTAGTTTGTTATCTCCTACATGCAAGTGCAAAAGGTTAGGCGTGTTCCCAAATTGCAAACGCACTGGTCCAGTAAGACTATTATCATTCAGTTGAATGTCTGTGAGTAATGACAAATTGGAAAGGGAAATCGGTATGGGACCAGTAATACCACCACAGTAACTAATCTGCAATCCAACGAGGTTTGTGAGACGACCCAACTCCTCGGGAATATTCCCATGGATGCTGTTGTTGCCAAGGCTTAATTTGGACAGGTTAGTTAGGTTACCTAAAGAGGATGGTATGGTACCCGTTAGATAGTTACTTCCAAGATACAATTCACTAAGTTGCTTCATATCTCCAATCTCGGACGGTATGCTTCCGGTTAGCTGGTTGTAACTCAAGCTCAGAGTTTGAAGAGTACGACTACTGCAAAGGCTAGACGGGATGCTGCTAGTGAGTTGGTTCCGAGACATAGCCATAATATGAGGGAACAACGGATGGAAGTTGCTATCATTAGAGGGGAGCGTCCCTGAAATATTGTTGTCCACGAGATACAATGCAATAAGCGATGATATGTTGAAAAAGGCTGGAGGTATTGAACCTGAAAGCTTATTATGATCAAGTAAGAGTAGTTCCAGTCGAGGCAGCCGAGCCAGAGATTCAGGGAGGGTTCTGACAAAGCCATCATTGGAAAGCCAGAGCAGAGACAGAAATGAGAGGTTGCCGATGTGAGGAGGGATGGTGCCGTTTGGAAAGCCAGAGCAGAGACAGAAATGAGAGGTTGCCGATGTGAGGAGGGATGGTGCCGTAGAGCGGCATGTTGCTAATGTTGAGAGCAGTGACTTGAGAGGTTGCCGATGTGAGGAGGGATGGTGCCGTAGAGCGGCATGTTGCTAATGTTGAGAGCAGTGACCCTTTGTCTTCGGCGGCTGCAGGAGACGCCCATCCAGGTGCAAAAGGAGGCGTCGGTGGTCCAGTTGGCGGATAGAATGCTGCCTGGATCACGTTCGATGACCTGGGCTTTGATGGCCAAGAGGGCCGAGAGGTCGGTAATGTTGTTATGCTTCACCGCCGATGATGAGGTAAACAATAATAGCATCAGATGCGTTACAAAGAGGACAGGCTGGTAGGTCCCCATTGATGCCAGTGAAGGAAAAAGATTATAGAGGATAAAAGAAATTGACACTACACGAGGGAAAATGCTCAACATAAATAGGCCAGCTGATTTGCTCTCACCTGCACCTACCAACGTTTACTTGGACTTTGCACTCCTAAGCCATCCCTTTCATTTGGGAAATTAAGTCATCAGTCCTACATCAGAATATTTTCCATGATTGAAAAATATGTCCCTTGATATAAAGATCTCGTGAGGATGAATCAAATATCAACAGCTTCCCTATTCGGATTAAAAATATTAATATTAGAAGGAGAGAAAAAAATTTGTGTCCTTGCCTATTTGGACTTGAATAGTCTACACTTGATCAAATTGTGCCAGTGAAACAACAAGTTAATCATGCAATAGCAGATCTCAAAAACAAACGACTGGTTGTTATTGTAGTCGAAATAGAAAAGTACTTGCTATCTGGATTAAATATGATTTTTTAAATTGTCTGCAATATGATTTTTTTTAAATTTTACTACTCAAGAAAATGAACTTTTTCGCTTAAAAAGACACATCATATGTTGGTTCAGCCCTTCAATCCGTTTTCTCCACAAGATGGAGCCCACATCAACCGTGGGACAGGGTGAGACTCGGCAATCCAATCAATTGTTTACTATGGGGACCACAAAAAACCGACGGGGTACGTGGTAGAAGTTAGAGCAAGTTCATCAAGCTCCCACCGCCCGCTCTCAAGTCCTACGTGGCGGTGGGAGTTCGTGAACTCTCTCCAGCAAGCTCCGAAGGAGCTCCTTTGGGCTGGCGTGGCACGGAGCTTGGGAGCTCGTGGCACGGAGCTTGGGAGCTCGTGCCACGGAGCTCCCAAGCGCTCCACAAATTTGTGGAGCGCTTGGGAGCTCCCAAGTATTAAAAAAAATTTGTTTTTTTACAAAAAACCCATATATCAAAACCCAGGACCCAGTTTCGAATTAGGTGTTTAAAAATTAGCCGTTGAGTTTAAAAATCAGTCGTTGAACAGTAAAAAAATTAGCCGTTGAACAGTAAAAAAATTTCTATAAATTTTCAATTCACTACACAAATCATTCCACACAATTCTCTCATAAAAAACTCTATATTTTCCTATCGAATTACAAATCTCATGGATCCCTCCTAAAACTTTTATTCGCAACTCCTTAACGGTGAAGGATCGACCTTATACCCGCCGTTCTATACAGACGTCGTAGAAGAAGGTCACCCCATCGAGTTCTCGTAATCGGCAACACAACAAGTGTCATCCTAAGAAACACCAACCACAAAGAAGAAGAAGGCTTACACGCGGTCCGAAAATTGGACTGTCCACGAGGATAAGCTTCTTGTGTCTGCTTGGCTGAACACGAGCCAAGACGCCATCCAAGGTACAGGGCAACACAAAGATAAGTTTTGGCACCGAGCTAACGACTACTTTATCCTATACTCCACCGATCCAACGAGCCGCACACCAAACCAAATGATGCATCGCTGGTCAACGATTCAATTGTCCGTCAATAAGTTTTGTGGGTGCGTTGCTCAGATTGAAGGAAGACAAAGATTTGGTACGAAAATTATTGACCAGGTAAATATTTAATTATGTTTGATTATGTTTGCTCAGATTCAATATGTTTAATTATGTTTGATTATTCTAAATTTAACTCTTGTGTAGACTGCCGAAGTAAAAGAATTATACCAATCTCTTTATGGTAAGTCATTCGTGTTTGACCATTGCTGGGTTGAGTTGCGTCATCATCAAAAGTGGATCCAACAAATGGAAACTTACAATAAGATTCGATCACAGCCGAGAAGAACCATAAACTCTGATTCCTCACCAAACAATTCCATGCCAGCGACCCCCATCGAGTTGAACACTGACTCGGATGATGTTATAGCAAGGCCTGAAGGGAGGAAAGCGGCAAAGCTCAAGAGGAAACAAAATATGGAAAACTCTGAGTCCGATAGCAAGGCCTGAAGGGAGGAAAGCGGCAAAGCTCAAGAGGAAACAAAATATGGAAAACTCTGAGTCCGCTAAGTCCATCATGGGAGAGGCTTTCGCGTGGATGAATCAAACCACCAATCAAAAAATGGAGCTAAAACAGAAGAAACAAGATGACGATATCATGAAGATGGATCTCTCAACACTCAATTCAGTTCAACGACAATACTTTGAAATGCGTCAGTCAGAGATATTGGAGAGGTGGATGTGTAAGGGTTCTTCCTAATTATCATATATTATCTTGTATTAGATTTATGATTGTACTCGCATCGCATCTTAATTAGTTCTTCCTAATTATCTTGTATTAGGAATAGTCTTCACTAATGTGGACCACTCTGGGTAAATCCCATCGACGAGATAGTATCCCATATTGTACTTGTGGCCATTAACAGTATAGTTGCACGGTGAAGCTCTTCCCTCCGCAAGTTGTGCGAAAACTGGTGAACGATGTAGAACATTGAGGTCATTGTGAGACCCGGCAGTCCAAAGAAGGTATGTCATATCCAAAGATCTTTACTAGCTACGGCCTCCAAAATAATTATAGGTTCATAAAAATGCCCAGTATACATACCTTTCCAGGCGGTTGGGCAGTTCTTCCATGTCCAGTGCATGCAGTCGATGCTCCCAAGCATACCAGAAAAACCTCGTTGTGAACCTTCCTCGAGCAGGCATGCAACGTCTTCATTAGTCGGTGAACGAAGGTATTCCTCCCCAAAGATGTTGATAATCAATCGAACGAACCTCTTCACGCTCTCAAGCGACGCACTTTTACCGATCCGAACGTAGTCATCAACGACGTCAGCGGATGCTCCATATGCGAGCATCCGCATAGCTGCAGTAATCTTTTGAATGCTAGATAGTCCTAACTGTCCAGCATCATTCCTCTTTTGGATGAAGTACTATGCGTCATGGATTCGAAGGAATAACGAACGCGTCATTCTGAATCTTCGACGAAAATAATGAAGAGGATAGGTTGGTGCATCAGCAAAATAATCTTGGAACAACCGATTGTGGCCTTCCAGTCGGTTTCGATGGAGCACGATACGTCTTTTGCGTTGAACTGAAGTTGAACATTTCTCTTGTTCTTCTTCCTCGACGATAACAACTCCCATAAGAAAGAACGTCTTCATCATTTCATCATCGCTAGAGCTAGATGAGCTAGACATTTTGTTCTGGGAGACGATGGGTTGAGGTGAGAAGGCATCAAATTTTATAGGAATCAGTCGGTTGACGGTCAAAGTTCTGGGAGACGATGGGTTGAGGTGAGAAGGCATCAAATTTTATAGGAATCAGTCGGTTGACGGTCAAAGTTCGCGATACCTCGAACTTCGTGCCTAACCTCGAAGACCGCGGGCTACCTCGAAGACCGTGTGCGTTCCCTCGAAGACCGTGGATTACCTCGAAGATCGTGTGCGCTCTCTCGAAGGCTGTATCCAACGGTTAGAAATGAAATAAAAGAGGTTTAAATATAATTGAAAGTAATGGGTAAAAAAATTAAAATAGAAGATGGGTTTTTTTGATATTGTTGGAGCTCCTAACTAGGAGCTTGTTGGAGCTCCATAAAATAAGGAGGGCCTCTCAAGGCTTATTTTTTAATTTTTTATTCCAAAATGCTTGAGAGCTCTTGAGAGCTTGCTGACTAGGACTCTCAACTGGGAGCTTGCTAGACTTGCTCTTAGGCCACTACAGTGTTTCCACAATACCGATTAGTGGGTCGTGGCTACAATGTTGGTTGATGGTTGCTGACTGCTGACTGCTGACTTTAACATCGATATTAGCAGTGATTACGGATAAGATATTAAATAATTAAAAAAACACTGCCAATGTGGAAATATGATCCAAGCTCAATTTTCCAAAATTTAGTTTGAATTAAATTTCATCTTGAAAAATGAAATCCAAAGCTCACTTTTCCCAAATCTAGTTTGAATTAAACTATTCTACGACTTATGATTCCCTAGATTCATTAATGCAAGAAGATATTCTAAGAGAACGCATCTCTAAATTATGAACCTTCCACAAATTACATTTCCAAAGGCTCTGTTTGGTTTCAGCGATAATAATGAAAAAGAAAATAAAAAGGAAAGTAAAAAAGGAAGGGAAAGGAAAAGAAAGAGAAATCATATTCACTTTTATGTTTGGTTAGAAAGGAAGTTGTAAGAAGAACTCAATGGAAAATAGTTTATTTATGTTATATGCTAATCTATAGTAATTCATTGTTTTTTATTTTGTTTTCAGTTTTGGAATTCATTAATATTGATAATATATGAATTCAATAGATATATCTTCAAATTAAGTTTTACATAGGACTTTCTAAACAAATCATATAGAGAGAGGGAAATAAGAACTTTGCACACATTCCAATAGTAAGCAATCATTTCCTTACTCATCTTTCAAGAGATTGCAGTCCACAGTATCAAACAGGCCGGTATGATTTGCATCACATACCCATCGTCGGCAAGCTTGAAATCCTTCAAGGCTACCATTAGACAAGAATTGTAGGACGAGCGCCTTGAAATCCAACTTGGAACAAGTATCGTTGATTCGAACAAGATTTCTGTGATGAACCATCCTCAAAGGTTGACAGTCGGTATCAAAACTCCTTGAAGCTCCGTCAGTTCCCAAATTCAAGACCTTTATGGCAACAGGAGACCATCATCTAAATGCCCTATGTACACACAACCAAAGATACCCTTCCATTCTTCCAAGTAAATTTATCTCGCTGAAGTTATCAGCAACACAAACGAGTTCATAGTATGAGATCAATTTGTAGTTATCAGGAGATGGTATATCTCCGGGGGCTGGACCAGTGAATAGATTTCGACGCAGTTTTAGTGATATATAAATGCAAGTAATAAGGATTATGATTAAAGCAATAGCAGGTAGAATATGCTCGAGGAAATGCACTATTTTCCCTAGATTTGAAACACCACCATCTGCATTGCAATGTGGAAATCCTAGATTAGGGGCTCCACATAATCCTGAATTCCCAACCAAACTGGCAATCTGTCACGACCCCAAATTTCAAACCTAAAAAGAATATTGGAGCCGGACTAAAACTGTGAAGAATCCTCCAAAATATGCATTCATTAAAAGACCATCAAAATAATCTCTTCATTGAACTAAAAGCAACAATAAATATTCTCTATAATCCCAAAAATTAACATTAATCCAATTAACTTGATATGAACAAATATTCCTCAACTTGAAATAAAACTCGACCTAAAGAAAAGAAATCTCGTAACCACCAGACTCTCAATTCATCAACTAAACATCAAGACTTTATTTAACCTTCACCTAGAAGATAATAACAATCCTGAATTTTATTCGTTGCTCCGTTCTAAGAATTTGACAAATAAATCTTCAACTCCACCTAATCCCGAGTCTTGGAAAAGAATGGAAAAAACACAATGAGTTCACAACTCAGTAAGTGGATAAATTCATACATTAAACATTGGTTTTACAAAACTAAAATATTAGGACGAGAGATAAACAAAATATAAGAATGATAGAGAATTATCAATGAACTCTAGTACTTGATACAAATATTTAAGAAAATTTAGAAATCATGAAATGGAAATAAGCAGGCTACGTCTCAATGCAGTCAACACTTCATACTCCGGTTGACTCAGTAAACCCCACAATTATTAAGCCCGTGGTTCCGGGACGGTGAGACCCAAACTTGGACTCTTAGCGCTAAAATAAAATCTCACAGAGGCACTTGAGCCCTGTTTTAATAGCTTGCTTACACCCGACATATACCGGCATATTGACTTGAAATGCATATGTTTAAAAAGAAAATTAAACAAAGTTCATATAACCAAATATGTTATACAAAAATGCCAAATACCAACCAATAGTGAAATCAATCAACTACATATGCATCTCAACCTACTACCATATGAAAAGACATAATAATTGACAAAGAAAATAAGCATAGGCTTATATCAAATAACCACGTGCATTCATCCAACCAACAATTAGTATGCAAACAACCATACAAAGGATATAATCCATCAGAAACAACCTTACATATAGTCAATATAATTTTATATGAAAAATACGTAGCGAATAATGTACAAATTCACCACTGACCTCAAGTCCGGAAAAAAAAATAATCAAACTACCACTCACAACACCTCCTCGGAGTCACTTGGAACCCCTAAAGAATACATATTAATAATCATCAATGCTATTGTATACCTTAAGATTCAAACATGTATTAGAATAAACAACACATATGCTAATAATACATTTTTCAATCTAACATATAAATCTAAAATCCTCAAAATTACTCTATAAAGAATTACTAGAGCTCTGTCGCACGACAGTTAGTAAATATTGATTCAATGCCTATAGTTGTAATAGAATATTACTACAACTGCTTTTTCTATAGCATATTTCTATTCAAATATATGACAAATGATGAGGATTAGATAAAGGTAAAACTTGGATTTGTTTGTCTACCTTTCCTCCCAGGTATAGGTACGCACCTAAGCCCTCTCGAAGTCGCTGCTTCGGTTTTCTCTTTTTTTTATATGCGTGTGCGGCGCAAATAGGGAGGGGAAAAGGAAGAAGAGGCTGACGGGAATCAAAGAAGTAGGGTTTTTGGATATTTATAAAGGCCCTTTTTACTAATAGACCCTATAACAATTTATGCACAAAAGTCCCTTTAATTTTCCTTATATATATATGTGAAAACGACGAAGGAATTGATGAAGGAATTGAGAAAAATGTGAAGAATAAATAAAACAGGCTCCACCACACCCTGGTGTGATGTCTACCATGGGTGTGACAGAATCTGCTCTGTCTGCTATGGGTGTGGTGTCTGCCACATACCCTGGTGTGGCAGAATCTGCCCTATCTGTCATGGGTGTGGTGTGTGCCACACTAGGGTGTGGCAGATTCGTTTTTAGAATCTCAATCAGTTTGGGATTATGTTTTATTATAAATAGAGACACGTTTTTTAGGGTTTCTTTGGCTTTGTTTAGGTTTCGATTGGGCTTTGATTAAGCATTGATTGAGGTATATTTGGAGCATAAAAAGAGGTATTTTTTTAAGCTTTTGGTTAGGGTTTTGTTTGGAGAGATTAAGAGTTTTGTTGGTGAGATTAGTTTGTTCCTTCGAGTGATTTGTAATCTCAATTTGTACTCTTCTTCTCTATTAGTGAAAACCTCATCCCCTTCTTGCCCCGTGGACGTAGGCAACTTGCCGCACCACGTTAAAATTGGTGTTTTGTTTGTGCATTGATATTTAGTTCGTTTGGCTCTCTTGGATTGGCGTTTGGTTTGGTTCCTCGACACAGCTTTTGGCAAAACAATTTGGTATCAGAGCTCGGGCTACGCTTGGGCTATTTGGAGGAGTAGATCGATTTGGGAAGCTCGTCTAGGATTTCAGTTGGTGAGAAAGGTGGGATCTTTTCGGTAAAGCTTCTTTCTTTTCTCAGTTTTGGATCTATTCTTCGTTTGTTTCCGCATTGGTTGTTGGTGTGTTGAGGATTATGGCCGAGAAAGAGGGAGTTGATGATAGTTCTTCAGGTGTGAAGACTGTCCAAAGTTTGAGTATCCACTCGATGAATATTGACGTGGAGAAGTTCAATGGCACTAACAATTTTGGACTTTGCCGATGCGAAGTCTTGGATGCGCTCAATGCGCAGAATTTGAAAGATACATTGGAGTTGGACGGGAAACCGGACGATATTGATGAGAATGTTTGGAACAAGGATATATGGGAAGATTTGAATATAGACTTTGTGTTAGGACTTCCCCGAACGTAAAGAGGCGTGGATTCAGTCTTTGTGGTAGTGGATCGTTTTTCTAAGATGGCTCACTTCATTTCGTTCCGCAAGACTTCGCATGCACCACATGTTGCACGGTTATTCTTTCAAGAAGTGGTTCGGCTATATGGTGTTCCTAGTTCTATTGTTTCGGATAGGGATACTAGGTTCTTGGCGACTTTTTGGACTACTTTATGGTGACGATTTGACACTTCATTGAAGTATTCTAGCACAGCACACCCTCAAACGGATGGACAAACCGAAGTGGTCAATCAGACTTTGGGAAATTTGATTCGATGCATATGTGGAGAGAAGCCAAAGATGTGGGATCAAACTATACATCAAGCTGAATTCGCCTACAACATGGTTGTTCATAGTTCTATAGGTATGTCTCCTTTTTCTATTGTTTATAGGAAGACACCTCGACATCTCCAAGATTTGTTGAAGTTGCCGACAAGTAGCAAGTTCAGCGAGGCAGCAAGTTCAATGGCTGAGAATGCTATCGGTATTCAAGAAGAAGTGCGTACAAAACTTAAGGAAGCTAATGCAAAGTTCAAGGCGCGAGCGGACAAGAAGAGGCGACTCAAAGTGTTCAATGAAGGAGATATGGTGATGGTTTACTTGCGGAAGGAACGGATGTCGGTTGGAACATACAACAAGCTTAAGCCGAAGCGTTATGGACCGTTCAAGATTCTCAAGAAGATCAATGATAATGCATATGTAGTGGATCTTCCAGAAGGAATGACTATGTCGACAACATTTAACGTGGCAGATATTTCTGACTATCATCCTTCAATCAAATTGTATTCAAGTGATGCGAACTCAGAGACGAGTTCTTCCGAAGAAGGAGGGACTGATACAGGAGATCAAGTCTTGGCCGAGACGAGAAGACAAGCAGCCGAGACGACATCAGCAGTAGCCGAGTCGACATCAGTTGAGACGAGAAGAAAACAGAAGGGTCGAGTCGAAATGACAACATGACGGGTCGACACAACCCAGCCGAGACGAGCAGACGAATCGAAGCGACAGGACGGGACGACAAGAGACAGGACGAGTCGACACATTCCAGTTGACACGAAAGGCGGGACGACTCATCATGCTTAGTCGACTCAGGTCCAGTCGACACGAAAGGCGGTGCTAGTCGGCACGCCTCGTGTCGACTCGGATTTCAGATTAGGAAAGAGTTCCTAATTGATTATTTCCTTTTGGGATTTGGTTATTTCCTTTTAGAATTAGAGTTTCTTTTTTATTAGAGTTAGGATAGATTTATTTGGCTATATATAATAGTTTCTTTTGTAATTCAAACAATTAACTTTCAATTATTCAATCAAGAGAACTGTTCTCCATTGTTTTCTTTCTCAAGTTTGAGAAACTTAGGACTTGTGGATTCAAGCTTGTTTTCTATCTGCTATTATCAGGGCTCGTCGGCATCGGAACGATATCCAATCGGGCTCCCGTTTCTACGTCTGCGTCAAACATTTTGTACATAAGAGGGCTATGATACATGAACCTTAGAAAAGGTGTCAGTTTATTCAGTTTATACGTCACTAACATGAAATGAACCTGTTGTTAGACATGTCCTAATTAGGTTAAGAATGAAAGCTGGAACATGTTGAGGATTAAGAATGAAATCGACCAGGTTCACAACTATAGGATAGGATTCTAGGGGAATCCAGTGTTCTACATCTCACCTTGACATTGGAATAGCTTCTGCAAAGATAATCCTGTCGCCTTTGATAAAAATAGGTTAAAAAAATCACTGCAAGCTCTGCTTATATCACCAACATAAACTATGTTATTGAATCAAAAAAGAGGGAACTCAGTGTAAATTTCACTAGCAAGAAGTGAGTAGATTATAAAGCATGTCCTGACAACAAACAAACTTACATCATGAGTAATTTACGGTGTCTTATAAGAGAGAGGCTTGGATCAATTTCCAAGCATGTCCACCGTGGCATCTCTTTCTCTAGTGATTTCGTATTTCAAATTAAAAGTCCACAAGCACGTTAATCATATCATACACCCTTTAAAAGTAAGTTCGAAAAAAGGTTTTTCATGGTCATTATTACCCTTGACCCTTTTACATGTTACATTGTTATCCTATATATTTTAATTAATATGTTTTGATTTAATCTTCCTAGCTCACATTGGTTTCTATTTCGCCAATTTCTAATTAATTAATAGAACAATTCGATGAATATATGGTTTCAGTTTATGTCCAAACACTTACATTTGCTATTAAAATCCAACTCCTCATATCAATCCTACTATTCTAAATTTGCATAATATTAAAAAAGTGTTAAATTAAAAAAGTACTATTAAAAAGAGAAATTTTAATAAGCATTGTTTTTATTTAAAAAGTATTAATTGGATAACATCAAACTGATTTCTAAATTTTAATAAGTATTGTTATTATTTAAAATAATAAGACAAAATCACTGGACTCCATTTGATGCCCCTAAATCCACGATATTTACAGTTGAGTTGTAAATGCATGAGATTAATTTACAGTTGAGTTGTAAAATAATAGCAGTTAAGTATCTTATAGTTTGAGGGTGTTTGGAGGGGCTTATTTTTAGAAGCTTTAAGGCTACATTAACTTTTGGTAGCTTTTGATTTTTATGATTAAAGTTACGGTTTTTCTATAGAGTGCCCATGAGCACTCTATAAGTAATGAGAGAGATAGAGAGAAATTAATAACAAGTAGGAATTAGTGCAAATCAAGGGGACCTACTTGTTATTAATTTCTCTCTATCTCTCTCATTTCTTATAAAATGCTCATGGGCACTCTATAGAAAAACCGTTAAAGTTATAACAATTTTTTTGGATAGAATCGTAATTTGCAACTCGGGCTAGTTTCTCAAGTGTATGAGAAAATGAAACCTACTCTTTAGCAATATTCTTGAACAAAATAAAATGGTGTTTTAAATTGACATTTGGTATATTAATTAGCAAGTCCGTTCACTTAAACTGACTGCTATTAGTTGCTTGTGGGATGTGAACAAACCTTGGTCTTCTTGAAACTCTGATCCACGTTCTCTAGCAGCAAATTGTTTCTGTATAGAGATAAGGATTAGATTTAGCAGTACTTTCGAATTTTTTTTTTAAAAGGCTCCATCAAGAGGACCATATATATAAGGAAAAATTGCTTATTACATAATTATTGAATTTTGGATTTGAGAAAAGGCCACACTATGTTGAATTGAATTGTTTGATTCACCCCCCACATGACATGATAATACTAATATAAAATTATAATTTATGGTTGCTCAAGTTAACTCATAAAAAACAATCTTGAATTATCCTCCCTAACTGAAGATCATTTTTGAACTTGAATTAAGATCAGAATTGTTTTTTTATCATTCTATTCTCATAATTTATCCTCTACCATCACAACCTCCTCCAACGCACCTCTTCCACCATATCAACAATTAAAATACCAAAAACAACTTTAAATTAACATCCATTACAAATTGTTCACAGATTAGAAAGAGTGAGAGCGAGAACCTTGAGAGCAGAGATTTCAGTTTGAGTTGTTACCTTCTCCTCTTCCCCTTTTTATAGCCCTCATCCTCTCCCGTGTATTCAACAAATCCCTCGCCCTCCCTCATCACTTCCGCAGCCTTTCTCATCTCAAATAGGAAACGTCGTACCTCAGCCCCTCTCACCAACTCCTTTTTGTTTTGGCCCAGTCATCTCCCCTCAACAACTCTGCGGTGAAGAGGGATGAGTTATCATCCCCTCAACAGTTCTTTTTGTTATTTTACTCTGAGGAGTCAATTTTGGACCAAAGTTTCCTAAAATAGTAAAAGAAGAGGGTAAAAATGGAAAAGAAAAAATGCCCCCCATACAGCTTTTATACAAGTATATGTGTATTGAATTTTCTTAAAACTTATAGATATCTACCAGCATATATTGTTTTTGAGAAAATAAAAGGAAAACTATATGTTATCAACAGAATCTAATAGATACAAAAGTTACTAAAATGCTTCTCATAGTCGCTTCAGAATCTCATACTACACATTACTCTTGATATAACTGGTATACGAAACCTATATGCTTACAAGTAAATTCATAATACATTACTGTCATGTTTTAAGCAGCACAAGGCTCAGACATATACTTCATCTTGATCTTCTGCAACTGTGGGACAACGTCTTTCATAGCAAGCCTTACTTTAGGCGACACTACCACGTTTTTGAGATATCACAACGGTTTCGGCGTAACGGTCTTAACCGTTGCACTTAGGTACCTATGGGAGCGGTTTTGCAGCAGTTCTAACGGTGACAACAGGTCTAATGTCGCGGTTTGTGAAAAAAACAATATGTTCGGCCCAATCATTGTTCCGGAGGTTTTGGGCTGACGCGTAACTATTGGACTTTTATTTGATGACAATGGAGTTGAGTCTTTCATAAATTAACTTTTCTGTTATAAACTGCTCTCTCGCATCTCGCCGCTCTCGAAATTCCCAAAATTGAAAACCCTCACTCTAAATTAACCATCGTCAAAAACCCTAGTTCTCACTTCGCCATCGCCCAAAACATTAGTTCTCAATCTCCATCGCAAATTCTCATCACCGTTAGCAATTCTACCTCATCATCGTCGGCGGCATGGTCGTCTTCATCAATTGTTAGCTCAATCTCGCCGGCGAGCAGCACCATCTCAAGTTCAGTAAGGTATTGGAAAGTGACTCGATCTCGGTGATTTTTTAGGTTCTTTCATCTCGTGCATGTCGTTGTAGTTGTTGATGTAGATTTAGGGTTTAAATCAAAGCTTTGAGGATCATTGCTCTGGAAATTCATTTCATTAATTGCTTCAGTTTCTGGTTATATCTAGGTTTTTACAGTAAATTGGAAACTATATGCTCAGATTCAGAACTCTAAAAGATCATCTTTTAGTGGTCAGTTCCTCAACTATGTGATGCTAAAATTGTATATGGCAATCATGATCACTTTATTTATATGATATGATTTTGTTTTGCTCCATGTGTCTTGGTAAAATTCTATAAGGTGATCACTTTATTTATACGTGTAAGGAACTCTTCAATTTTTTTGCACAACTTGGTGAATAGTTTTAGTAACTAGCCTAGCTATTTGAGGCTTCTGTATTTATCCAGAATTAGCGTAAACAGACACAAATTAGAAGGAAAAGGTCATGCTGATTTAGTGTAATCTTTTTCCTAATTTTGAATTTTGAGCTGGTTTGGACCTAATTTAGATGGTGTTAATGCAAGATAAAAACTTTCCCTAATTTTGTTTCATTATATAATCGTTACTATATTTTACTTCAAAAAGTGTCTTTCGGCGATACTGATGGATGCAGGTTAAATCCAAAAGTGACCTTACATAACCTTATAAAAGAGAAGCTTCTATGATCAATAATAGAAATATTTTCAAGTACATTGAGCATATTGGCATATGTTTTTAATTAAAAAGAAGAGCAAAAGTGATGTTATAGTTAGTAAAAAATTGACATAACTATAGCTGTATGTTTTTAAGGTTACATGCTGTACTTATTTAAGAAGCAACTAGTTGACGGTCACGTAAGATGGATAAGATTGTTGCTATCTTAATGCTCCTTTTAGAGTGGCTAGTTCAACTTTCGAGAGTGACAATTCTCCATAAGGAACTAATTTAGTCATTTGTATGTTGGCCTTAGCTTTAATACTTAGTTGGTCTTTCAATCTTCTTTTTACTGTGAAAAGGATATTATGATTATTTGGACTACGCTTATTCTGTGAATGTGGCATGAGTGAGGAGCACAGTTTGCATTATGCTGCCTGTAGAGGGAGTCTCAAGGGCTACCAGGAAATATTACTTGCATTATACTTCTTTTGATTTCAGAAACTAGCTAACTTTTTTGTAAATTTCCACCATAATTAGTAGTAATACATGTTTGAATCTTCTTGTTTATGTTAGAATAGTTTCTAAAATTTCCACCATAATTAGTAAATACATGTTTGAATCTTCTTGTTTATGTTAGAATAGTTTCTAAGAGTGTCTCACTTTAGGGATTCTTATTTTCAAGTGGTTTCCAATTGATGATTACTAAAATGTGAGGTCGCCATTGTCTCAAAACTTTTCTCGTGCCAAATTATTAATATCGCAAGGTATTTTATCTCAAAATATTTCTTCTAACATCACATTGACTAAATTTTAACCTTGAAGGATAGATCGGTTTTCTAATGCTAGTGTGCTGGGGAATTTGTTTGAAGAGGAGAGTAAGTAATCAGCTTAATTTACTTGTAATCACTTATTCTATTTGGAGAATAGTTATTGAAGTTTAATCTATGCATAAACGATTGATACACTAGAAAACTACCATGATGTTAAAACAGATAGACATGCATATGAATAAATATTCATTTAAAAAAAAGAAAAACTCAATTGTTTGTGTTTGATATTATCTCACTTGCACAGTTGCAGTTGGAAGCTTATTGCCAAATCAAATTGTTGCCATTTTAGTTTTAATCTATTCAAATATTTTTAGAAAGAAAGATGTAACTAACATCATACTATCTTTTGTGAATCTGAAGTAACATCCCTGATGTTAGTGAATTTTTTTGTTTTGATGATTTCAATCATAAGCTGATAAAAATTTTAGAATCATTATCAGGTTCGTATACTCATTTGTTTCTTCCGTTTAGTTTAAGAGAACGTTTAAGTGTATTCTAGTGTGACAACTGTATCACATTTCTTTTGTGTAACAGGCCAAGGAAGTTCACTATCTGAAAATATGCTATATAATTGTTCCCGATAAAATTATAAGTCCTAAATTTTATATTTCATAATCATATATTTTTCTCAATTTTGTTTACTTTTATAAACATGTGAATCTTTGTAATATCATTACCAATTTAGTTCTAGATTAGTTTTCACTTTCCTTGTATTGTTCCATTTTTTTTCTAATTCAAGATTAAGAATTAATCTTCCACCAAACCTTAAATGGTTGTAAGTTATTTATAATACAATATGTTCATGTTTGAAATGAACATTGGTCTACGACATGCAAACTATGACTTTGGTAGTTGATCTTTGAGTGCCATTGCTTCTCTATGAGTAATCTTATATTTAAATTTTGTAAGTGATTTTTTTGAAAGATTTAATCTCCTTCATATTGTGCAGGGACATGAGCAGCAATGGCCTTGCAAATGGAGGCCAAATTCCTTATAATCTTCCTCCGAACCTTAATCCATTGTAAGCTATGAATCAAAAAAAAAAAATTATGGTCTTGGTTGTTTGTTTCTAAATTAAGTGTTATGTGACTGCATTTGTTGAAATCTAGCCAGTAATGATTTCTTGCACTGTCATGTTTGACATAGGTGATAAAACTAACCTTGGTAACCCTTATTTGTTTGCCAGTAATGATTTCTTGGAACTGTACCAGTTTATTAACTGGAACTATTTTTTTCCCCTTGTCCCCTTGTCGTAACTTGAAGAATCTTTGTTGTCGCTAAAGGCTTGGTGAATATCATATAATAGACATGAATAATCAATAGCATTAGTGCATATGCATGTGTGACATAGGTGTCAAAGGTCTGGGGCTATCAGCCATAGGAAACCATGTGATGCTCTCATGGCAATGATATTGTCATAATCAACATGAAAATACCGTTGATGTGTCCAATAAATGTTCTAAGATCCAAATGCTCATGGACACACCAGGAACCTAGAATTTGAAAGACGAGATTAACACTAGAAAGCATGATTTCTTGCATCGTATGACTTTTCTTGTGATTTGGCTTTTAAAATGTGTGTCTAATGACTAAATCATGTAAGTAGCCTACAGAATTGTCTACTAACAAATGTTATGACTTCCAACAAACCTAGTTAACGATGTTATGACTTCCAACCTTTCTAGTTTGTTGCTAACATGATATTTGATACGTTTCTTTATTTTTTGCAGGGGATATAAAGACTTAAATAGGAGAATGCGGCCAAGATGGCTATGATATATGAATCTTTTGGAACAGATTTGTACTTGTGAATTGATCATATTTTGATGGTTGTGAATTGATCATATTTTGATGGGTTGAAGTTATCTTGTAACTACTTATTTTTGAATGATGGGCTTAAAACATATGAATGCTTCATTATTTTTCATTTTGATGATATCTTATTGTAGTGTGTTCTTATTCCATTTTTATTTTGGTTTACGTAACTGTGTTTTCTTATTGGTCAAATTTCTTGAAAAATGCTGATATAGCCATATAAAACTGTTGTTGTAGCCTTATAAAACTGTTGTCATAGCAAAGCAAAACGTCACATTAGCTACAAAAAAACTGTTGCCTTTGGTCCTTGATTTTGGAAAAATCGCTGCCCTTGTGTACAAAACCGCGACATTAGGTATCAAGAAACTATCGTTGAAACCTGTTGCATTTGCAATAACTGTTGCCTTTGTGTATGTAACCGTTACATTAGGCATTAGTAAACCGCTACAGAAAACGTTGCATTTTGTGAAAAACGTTGCGTTAGCCTTGTCTTAGAAACTGTTGCGTTAGGTTTTGCAACTCTGCCTTATGGCTAGGGCAACGACAGCAATGAAGACAGTTTGCTAACCGTTGTGCTTGTGCAACTGCAACGGTTTAGATGCTAACGCGACAGTTTTAAACCGTTGCGTTAGAGCAAATATGTGGTAGTGCGAGTCACTTGAACAGATAATCCCCAACTCCATGATGGAAGATAGACAGGCTTGTGTTGAAATTAAGTAGTTCTTTGTCCTTTCATTTCCATTTTCATCTTTCAGGAGATTA